CTTGCTCTCTCTGTGTCTCTCTCTGGTCAAATTAAAATAAATGAATGAATAAATAAAATTAAATAAGCAATTCTTTTAAAATATATTGTGTGTGTGTGTGTGTAAAATTATCTGCTCTTGAATAGAAAAAGCCCAGCTAGGTTAAGATCTGAAGTCATACCTATAAAAAATGGAGCTAAGATTTACCACTGCCCTTATAAGTGGCAAGACACACACACCGCATCCCACCGCTGGAAGTCCGGATGCAGAGATTCCTGTTACGCAGCACCTGGTACACATACTCACCTGTGCGCTGCTGCCCCAGCTGGGAGTATGAGGCAGGAATGAAGGGGAAATTTTCCTCTGGAGACTGCTTTCATGAAATAGAATAAAACCAGGACTATTGTTCACAGCTGTTGAAACTAACTCAGTCTTTGCTATTAACACTTACGGGCCTGATGTTTGCTTTTCTATGTAAAAGTTTGTTAGAACCACAGGCTCACCCTTTGGTAGCTTCAAACTTCTGAAATAAAGTATCTCTTTTACTTAGGGGAGTTGGATAATAATGGCCATATAAATGTACAGACATTAGGAAAGTATGTATCACAACACTTTAGACTTAATACATTTGTCAGATACAAAGAGGCTAGAGTGGGGCTGTTAGAAGGAGGAGGGAGGCTGTTGAGCTGCGCTGGATAAAATCCTCGGTTCTTTAGGTCCAGATCGCTGAGACCTGAGACCCATCCTGAAACACAAAATGAAAAGGCACACTTGTAAAGTAGGAAAAGGGAAGTTTCCATAGGAAAGTGAGGAATTTTAATAGACAAGAAGTACACCTCCAGGCCTGAAAGCCACGTAGGTATGCAGCCACCAGAGGACTGCACTGGGCACAGGGCTAGGTGTTACATTTATTCTAAGAGGTGACAATGAATATTTAGCAGGGAAAGGTCTGTCAGAGTATCTGACTTCTTTGAATTCTCCAGTTTTTTCCTGCTTTTGCTTATCTATTTCACAGATGAGGGATTCAATTATCTAATCCCACATGCTCAGTGTGGACTTTGAAGGTATAAGCATCCTTATTTGGATAAACTAATTAGTTTATTGCTCCAGTGAAAATTAGGATGTTGACCAATACGTCTCACTGGGTCCTTTAGTAGTTATGAGGGATAAGAGGGAAATTAACAACCTTCCCTATGTGCTTTTTTCAAGTACTAAAGAAAAAGATTTGCCTCGCCTTCCTGGCACCAGGAGCTGGGTGGGAACAAGGAGTCTCTGCAGATGATCTGGTTGTAACTCCTGGTAAGCTGTGATTGATGTGGCAGGTGTCTTTCCGCTATTTTATTAGGGCTGCCCCCTTATATCTAACCAACTGCCTACCACAGAACCAGAAGTGAAGTTGTAGTTAAGAAGTTGGGTCCCACATGATCAATTCTGTGGTCCAAGTCCTGGACCCAGCAGCTTGAAAAACTCTCTGGGCATGTGTGCATGCATGCCTAAAATCCTGAGAAGGGACTGCTACAGGACAATCCTCCTGAGAGGTGATTTCTTACTCCCCACCTCTCTCCTATGAGCACACAGGCCCTAGAGTTAAAAAAAATAAAATAAAAATAAAAATAATGGGGACTGGGGCCAGCAATTAGCATAATGGGTATGTTGCTGGACTCCCATGTAGTCGACCGCAATTCGAGTCCTGGACCCTGTGGCTTAAACTCACGCCAGGTGTGTGTGCATGCGTGCTCAAGATCCCAGGAGGAGAATGGAGAAGGGATTATGGTGTGGCCATGCCCCCTGGAAGGTGATTTCTCACTTTCTGTCTCTCTCTCTCTCTGTCTTTCTGGTGAGTGCACATGCCCTATAGCAAAAAACTCTCCAATAATAATAATAATAATAATGGGGACTTGGGACCAGCAGTTGGTGCAATGGCTATGTTGGTGGACTCCCATGTAGTCAACCGCAGGACCCGGTGGCTTAAATTCACGCCAGGCATGTGTGCATGCGTGCCCAAGATCCCAAGAGGAGAATGGAGGAGAAGGGATTGCAGTGTGTGGCCATCCCCCCTAGGGGGTGATTTCTCGCTATCTGTCTCTCTCTTTCTGGCAAGCACATGTGCTCTATAGCAGAAACCTCTCAAAATAATAATTATAATAATAACAATAGGGACTAGCAGTTAACATAATGGCTATGTCACTGGACTCCCATGTAGTCGACTGCGGTTTGAGTCCCAGACCCAGTGGCTTAAACTCATGCTGGGCATGTGTCATGAGTACCCAAGATCCTGAAAAGAGAATGGAGAAGGGATTGTGGTGTGGCCATCTCCCCTGGGGTGATTTCTTGCTTTCTGTCTCTGTCTTTCTGGTGAGTGCACGTGCCCTATAGCTAAAACCTCTCCAAAAATAAATAAATAACATTTAAAAATAAAAAAGGCCAGAGTGGCCTCTAATGTAGAAAACTCTATTGTATATCATAATATTTATCACATTAAGTGAACGCATTCCCCACCCACAGAAAACTTCCATTAGCACAGAAATTACTCATATGCACAAGCCCGACACCCAGGCAGGTGCTCTGTGCACTGTAGGCTGCTTCACAGCATCTCTGGCTTCTACCCACTGTGTGCCAACAGCACCCCCCAACGCCCAGTTATGACAGCTAATACTGTCTCCAGATGGCCAAATGTCTCCTGGCAATCAGTAGCACCATGCGTATTTAACTTCCGGTAAGCGAATACTTCTAACATACTTTCAATACTGTTGGGTCGCTGGAAAAGTCATGACATATTTTTCTGTTTTTCTATGCAAAAATGTGTCATGGCTTTTCCAGAGACCCATATATTTAACTTTTCTATTTGAAATTTTACATCTATGTCGCATTAACGGACAGTTTTCCCTTTATTATGAATTATCTAATATGTTTTAAAAGTTGGGAGTTCTGTTGACAGCTGACACATTAAATATGTTCACAAATATGTACTTTACTATCAGTGTTCAATGAGATGTCCCTACCTGTTTAGGTACTCCCAATTAGGTACATTTTCCTCCTTTGATTTCTTTGATTTTTCTATAAACCAACTTAGGGATAAGAGGTGACAACACAGGTTTCTGTGTGTGTGAATCTTCTGATCCACAGGACTGGGAACTTCCCTCAGAAGGCTCGTAAGTAAATCAGTTACAGTTGGCTGTGTTGTAATGCAGAGACCACACGGACAACGGCTCAGCAGAATAGGTATTTATTTCTCACTCACATAAACTACAACAGAGGCTTTAGGGGTGGGGTGGGAAATCTCTGCTCTTTCCAATCAGTTCCTTCTGTTTGAAATCCTGGCAGCCTTCTTCCACTTACAGTTCCCAAGAGAACCTGGGGTCATTGGCACATCAGTCCCAGAGGGCATGACAAATCAAAGAGGACTACATGGACATCTTTGTTGCCAGGACTGGATGTACTGTTCTTCATTTATGTTATTTCCTGGACAGAGACCAGCTATGTGGTCCCACCCACAGTAATGGAAGGCTGAGCAATATAGGCTAAGTGTGTGTCCCAGGAAAAAGAGAATGGTTTTTTGAGAACACACAGCCAGTCTTTGCTATACAGGATTTCTCCTCCGTGTGAGTACCCTGATGTCTGCTGAGGTGTGACTTCTGACGAAAGGTTTTTCCACATGTATTACATTCGTAGGGCTTTTCCCCTGTGTGAGTTCTCTGGTGTTTAGTGAGGACTGACTTCAGGCAAAATGTTTTTCCACATTCATTACATTGATAGGGTTTCTCCCCTGTGTGAGCTCTCTGGTGGACAGTGAGGGCTGACTTATGGCAGAAAGTCTTACTGCAGTCTTTACATTCATAGGGCTTCTCACCTGTATGAGTTCTCTGATGTGAGCTGAGGTTTGACTTCACACAGAAAGTTTTTCCACATTCGTTACATTCATAGGGTTTTTCCCCACTGTGAATTCTCTCATGTTTAGTTAGGGATGCTTTCTGGTAGAAGGTTTTCCTACATTCGTTACATTCATAGGGTTTCTCCCCAGTGTGGATTCTCTCGTGTTCCGTGAGGGATGATTTCTGAAAGAAGGTTTTCCCACACTCGTGACATTCATAGGGTTTCTCCCCTGAGTGAGTACCCTGATGCATCCTGAGGTTTGACTTCTGGCAAAAGGTTTTTCCACATTCGTTACATTCGTAGGGTTTTTCCCCTGTGTGAGTTCTCTGATGTTTGGTGAGGGCGGATTTCTGGCAGAAGGTTTTCCCACATTCATTGCATTTATAGGGTTTCTCTCCTGTGTGGATTCTGCGGTGTATAATAAGGGTTGACTTTTGGCAGAAGGTTTTTCCACAATCATAACATTCATAGGGTTTTTCCCCAGTGTGGACTCTCTGATGCATAGTAAGGCCTAACTTCTGACAGAAGGATTTCTCACATTTGTTACAAGCATAGGGTTTCTCTACGGTATGTGTTCTCTGGTGCACAGTGAGGACTGATTTCAGAGAGAAGAATTTCTCACATTCACTACATTTATAGGGTTTCTCTCCTGTGTGTATTTTCTGATGTTTAGTGAGGCTAGACATCTTACAGAAATTTTTCCCACACACATTACATTCGAACGTTTTCTTCCCTCCCTGAGTTATAGCTTGGGCAGTGAGAACTGATGTACCACAGGCTTTCTCATATGCATTATAGTTATAGGAGGTCTCTTGCACATGAACCCTCTTCTTTATCAATACTTCCTCCACAGTCAAGGCTTTCCCTTGTCCACTGTATTCAAAAGTATGCTGCCCAGTTGGAGTCCTGTGATGTTGACAAAGATGCTCACGGTATCCAAGAGATTTTCCAGTTATTTTACAAGCATCAGAATTCTTTCCAACATGCATCTCACCAGAGTCACTATGGAGAAGTGCATTGTGACATGCATTAAAGGCCTCAGGTTTAATTCCTGAATAGTTTCCATCATTTATAATCAGATTTGAAATATGATTTGAGCTCAAATGAAATGTTTTCCCTAAATCAACTCTCTCTTCAGTTGATGTTTTGCTGTTAGTGATTATAACTTGCCACGAACGTTTACTGTGACTTTCTTTGCTCCTCTCAATTAGGTCATCAACTATCTGGACATCTAAAATGAGAAAAAAAGAAAACCATATCCATGAACCACACTTGAGCATATCTTACAGAATGCTGGTTTCTTCCTATCCAAGTGGCATAAAATTTTACAAAAATAATAGGTATTGGTTTTGTAAGTATGTAGTTTTTCTTCTTGACTTAATGTAACAAATTATGTTAATAGATTTTCCAAAGTTAAACTGTATTTCAACTCATTGCTTCTTTTATCTTCTCTTAAATTCATACAGAAATTAGCTGGTAAAAAACTTCACCTACTGGCTAAGCTATGACAGCACAAATGGTCGAGTGCCATTGTACAATGCTGGAGTCACATGGAAAACCAGTGTTTGGATCCCAGGTCAACCTGATCCAGCTGGCTAGAAGACCTGGGAAAAATCTCAGCTTGAAGGTATCCCATCAAGTATGCCTAACCCCTCCTAGACTCTCTCTCTCCCAAGAAAGTAAACTTAAAAATTCACCTACTCCTTGGTTGTAGTTTCCAACTGTTTATCATCTGCCATTTGTTTTCCCTCTTGCTTTTCTCTATTTTATTCTTTTAAAACAGTAGATTTCCCACGCTGGTATATTTCTCATTATTCTGCTTTGAAGATGGCCAAGTTTTCCTGGACCAGCTACCTACAGGTGCAGGAAAGGGTCATTTGCCTGTCACCTAAACAGGAATATGGGTTAAGGAAAGGATTTTGTACCAATATTTTTCTTTTTCTTTTTTTTTTTGGAGAGGTTTTTTTGCTATAGGGCGCGTGCGCTCGCCAGACAGAGAGAGACAGAGAGACAGAAAGTGACAAGTCATCCCCCAGGGGGATGGCCATGCCACAATCCCTTCTCCTCCATTCTCCTCTCAGGATCTTGGGCATGCACGCACACACACCCAGGATGAGTTTAATCACCAGGTCCAGGATTCGAACCATGGTTTACTACATGGGAGTCTAGCCATGTAGCCATTATGCCAACTGGTGGTCCCTTGTACCAATAATTTTCTATTTTTCACTAATCCCTGGGGAATGGCTATTGATATCTAGGGACTTTCCAAATACATCATCTTTTTTCTCCATGCTAGCTGAAGACAACTTCTGGTAAATTCCTAATTTAACCCAACTTTCTCTATTTCTCAGGACCATAAAAAGTATAGGCAGCTCCAGTCCACTATCCTGGGCATCCCTGCATGTTGGTTTTAAGAATTTGGTTATACAATTTAGACTATTGCCACCATGTCCTAAAATTATAATACTTGCTCCCGAGATCAACAGCCCTAGCATTCTCCCGCCCTCTTCCCCCAGTTCCTGGTACAAGCACCCATGCTTGATAATCCACAGCTTCTGAATGCTTTCATTTTGTGCATTACAGTTGTAGCTGTCTCAAAGTCGTCTCCCGTACATTTATCATTTTTTGCTGTTCTACAATAATTTCCACAAAGGGAAGGGGAAAATGCTAACTTTAAACTCTACTCCCAAATTTGAGCCCTTCAACATGAAACCCTTGGTTCATTCACTTGCCTTGAACCAGAATCCCCTGAGTCTAGAGAAAAGGACTATTCCTTTTCACCCTCCAGTGCTAGGTCTTCCTTTGCTTTATAATTTTTGATGTAATACACAGGCTCGCTCATTCCTGGACTTGATTTCTCATTTTCTCATCAATTCCCTACGTGACCTCCTCCATAAGTATCACTTTAAATACCACCTTTAAGCTACCCAAAGTTTCCTAATACATATCTCTAATAGTGATCTTTGCTCTTGAACCTAGATTTTATGTTCATCTATATATGTGAGTCAAAATTGGAAAAGAATGGGGCCAAAAAGTGGTGTGGTGGTTAAGGCACTAGATCCCCACACAGCAAACCACAGTTCACTAAGTCCCAGACCTACTAGTTTGAAAATCACACTGAGTGCATGTGCATGCATGCCCAGAAATCCCAAGAGGAGAATGGAGTAGAAGGGATTGTAGCATGTCATCTTCCTTGGGGGTAATTTCTCACTTTCCCTCTCTATGCATGTCTCTCTCCTCTCTCTCCTAATAGTGTACATGCCCTATTGCAAAAATATTTTTAAAAAAATGGAAGAGTTAACTCAACTGAACTTATGTAAAGTAAACACTTATTAATACCCCTAAAATTGCTTTTTCTGACCAGACTTCCTATTTTATGATCTTTTTTTTTTTTTCTCTTACTTTGGTTAAATATTCCTTGTAATTCTTATACACATACTTTGTATGAAGGCTCTTCAAAAATTTCACGAAAAATGGGGACCAGCAGTTAGCGTAATGGCTATGTTGCTGGACTCCCATGTAGTCAACCACAATTCGCATCCCAGACCTGGTGGCTTAAAACTCACGCCAGGCACATGTGTGTGCCCAAGATCCTGAGAGGAGAATGGAGGAGAAGGGATTGCAGCATGGCCATCCCCCCTGGGGGGGTAATTTCTCGCTTTCTGTCTCTCTGTCTCTCTCTGTCTTTCTGGCAAGCACATACACCCTATAGCAAAAACCTCTCCAAAAAAAAAAAAAAAAAAAATCTTGCTCAACTAAGATGTGCTGAAAGAACATAAGAATAAATGTGTTTTAAACTTTTTAAATAGCAATAAATGTGTTTTTAAAAGTTAAAAAAAAAAAAAAACTCCGTAAGAATGGAATAAAAGAGGGTAACTGAGAATACTGAGAAAGTAAATAGCAAAAAAAAAGTTTAAGAACAAGAAAGTAGGGGTCAGTAGCTGGCATGGTGGTTGAGGTGCTGAACTCCCACAGTCTGCAGCAGTTCAGCAGTTCAAGTCCTGGACCCATGGCTTGATTTCTCACTTTCTCTCTCTCTTTCTGATCAAATTAAAGTAATAATAATGAATAAAATTAAATAAATAATTTAAAAGAAAAAAGGAAAGAATATATTTTGAGTAGATATAAGAAAACATTAGGCAAAATAAAAGGTGGGAATATATGCACGAGAACCCTCCTTAAAACCTACATCATGCATGTGTCTGATATATGCAGACCAACCATCTTCAGGTCTAGAACCAAAAAAGTTGGTGAAAACAGGTCAACACTACCAGCATCTGCTGGGCTTTATTCTTCCCGGTCTCCCTGCCCAGTCTCCCTGCCCAGGATACCCTCACTGACCTGGGAGACTCTGGTTTGGGAGTTCTTTGTCAATCCATGGCTCTACTCCTTTCTCCAACTTGATAATCACCTCAGGTTTGGCAATGCAGTGTCCTGTTCATGGGAAATAATATAGAACTGTGTCAGTTCCTTGGAGCATGATGACAGCACAGCTGCAGGAGCTGAACAACAAAGGGCCAAAATGAAACTCATTAGCAAGGATGACACATTCCTCATGAACTGGGACCTTACACCTATACAACTAAATCTTACAAGTGGCTCCTATAATGACCAACAAGGAAGAAAGTGTTGCTCGTAGGAGTTATTGGGGAGTTCTGCTCACCCAATGACACCAGGCTGCTGTAGGTCTCCAGCATCACGTCCCTGTACAGGCTCCTCTGGGCACGGTTCAGATCCTGCCACTCCTCCCAGGTGAAGTCCACAGCCACATCCGCAAAAGACACCAACCCCTGTAACAGCACATTTCTCCTCAATGCATTAGCCCTGTGTCACAGAATAGAAATCTGGGAGTTCACTCTTCCGTGTGTGCGTGTGTCTTCTATGTATCTCATGTTAAGATGTAGCTTGCAGAACCAGCAGATGGTGTAGCAGTTATGTCACTGGACTCCCACGTAGTCACCGCAGTTCGAATCCTGGACCTGGCGACTTAAAAATCTCATGCTAGGCACGTGTGTGCATATCCAAAATCTCAAGGGAAAGTGGAGGAGAAGGAATTGCAGTGTGGCCATCCCCCCTAGAAGGTGATTTCTTATTTTCTGTCTCAGTCTCTCTCTTTCTCCAGCAAGCACACACACCCTATAGCAAAATTTTCTAAAAAAAAAAAAAATGATAGAGGTTACTCCATATTCCATATGGTAGGATCCATACTCTATATGGTAGGAAAAAGGAAAATCACAGCAGAAGTATCCTGCAACTGTAATAATTAATTACCAAAACTACTCTACACAGTTTATCTTAATGTTCTAGAACAATCATTGTTGCTAGGGATGAAAGAATTAAATGCTGCTTCTCTAAAGAACTTATGAGCTGGTATAAAGACTTACTTACAGGGCTAGCCAGTGATGTGGTGGTTGAGGCAACTGGATTCTAAATGGCTGACTACACGGTTCAAGTCCCGGACCCAGCAACCTTAGGAACATGCCAGGGACATGTGTGTGCATGCCCAGAATCTCAAGGGACAAATGAGAGAGGAGACTGTGGTGTGGCAATTCCCCTAGAGGATGCTTTCTCACTTTCCCTCTCGCAATCTGACAAGCATGCATGCCGTAAGTAAATTTAAAGATTAAAAAAAAAAGACTTAAGTATATATTGGTACTGTGTTAAATGACTTAACTTAGAAACAAGTCCAGTATAGACAAGCGTAAGAAAGGAGAAAATATAGTTCTATTTTATATTATGAGGCGCTTGCATCCACTGTAAACCCAAAGACGTTTAGCTCATCCACATGAACAACAGCTTCTCACGACTATGAAGCAATAGCAGAGTCCAGCTACAAAGACACAAAGAATGCATACCACTATTTTTTTTTTTTTTAAGATTTTTGCCATAGGGCACGTGTACTTGCTGGAGAGAGAAAGAAAGAGGGAAAGCGAGAAATCACCCCCAGGGGGATAGGCATACAGCAATCCCTTCTCCTCCAGTCTCCTCTCAGGATTTTGGGCATGCACACACACACACCCAGAGTGATTTTCAAGCTGCCAGGTCTGGGACTTGAACTGCAGTTGGCCATATAAGAGGCCAACATCTTAACCACCACACCACCCACTGGCCTGAACATATACCACTTTAATAGAACAACACACAGCACTATGTCCAGGAGAACAATCATGAGTCACGAGCAGTAGAGATAAATGCAATATATTTTTTTTAAAAAGAATTATTTTATTTAACTTTCTTGCTTTCTTCCTTTATTTTAATTTGACCAGAGAGGGACAGAGCGAGAGAGACAGGGAAAGTGAGGAAGCAAGCCGCCAGTTCCAGATTTGAATTGTGGTCGGCCATGTGGGAGTCCAGTGTCCTTAACCACCATGCCACCTGCCGGCCCTAATAAATGCAATATTATTGAAGGAACTGCTTATGAAGTAATTCTACATTTAAATATTCTACCCAATTCCAACAATAAACTATTTCAAGCACTTAATTTTTTAATAATTATTTTATTTTACTTTATTTATTTTTTTTTTAATTTGACCAGAGAAGGACAGAGAGAGAGAGAGAAAGTGGGAAAGTAGGCCACCAAGTCCAGGACTTGAACTGCGGACGGCTATGTGGGAGTCCAGCACCCTTAACCACCATGCTACCTGCCAGCCCCACACTTAATGATTCTTAATTATTCACAAATTAAAAGCATGTACATGATCATCCCAAATTTCCTTCCTATATGCCAAAGGATTACTTACTTGTGTCCATCCTAGGGTGAACACAATGCCATTTCCAAACCAGAGGGTGCAAATAATAACGTCCTGTAAGAATAGATAAGTTGGGACCAGCAGATGGCGTAGTGGTTATGAATTCCCACGTGGTCAACTGGAGTTTGAGTCCCAGACCCAGCAGCTTGAAATTCACACCATGCAAGAGTGGAGGATGGAGGAGATGGGATTGTGCTGTGGCCAACCCCTCTGGGAGGTCATTTCTCACTTTCTATCTCGCTGTTTCTCTGGTGAGCATATGCACCCTATAACAAAAATCTCTCAAAAATAAAAGAATGGGAAGCCGGCAGGTGGCGTGGTGGTTAAGGGCGCAGCACTCCCACGTGAACAACCACAGTTCAAGTCCCAAACCTAGTGACTTATTTTCTCACTTTCTCTCTCTCTCTCGCTCTGTCCCTCTCTGGTCAAATTTAAATAAATACATTTATTTAAATAAAATAATTATTTAAAAATAAATAAATAGGGGGAACCAGCAGTTAGCTATGTCGCTGGACTCCCATGTATACGACCACGGTGTGAGTCCCGAACCCGGTGGCTTAAAATTCATGCTGGGCACATGTACATGTGTGCATGGCCAAGATCCTGAGAGGAGAATGGAGGAGAAGGGATTGCAGCATGGCCATGCTCCCTGGGGGATGATTTCTCACTTTCTGTCTCTCTGTCCCTCTCTCTGTCTGGTGAGCGCACGTACCCTATAGCAAAAACCTCTCAAAAAAAAAAAAAACCTTTCCTTGCTCATCAATTTGTTCATGGGAATTAGCGTAATGGCTATGTCGCTGGACTCCCATGTAGTTGACCACGATTCCAGTCCCGGATCCGGTGGCTTAAACTCACACTGGGCGCATGTGTGCATGTGCCCAAAATCCCGAGAGGAGAATGGAGGAGAAGGGATTGCGGCGTGGCCATCCCCCTTGGGGGGTGATTTCTCACTTTCTGCCTGTCTGTCTCTCTCTGTCTTACTGGCGAACACACGCGCCCGATAGCAAAAATCTCAATAAATAAATATAAATATAAATATAAACATAAATACATACATACATACATACAAGAATGGATAAGTTATGGCCCAAAAGGTGAAAGAGTAGTTAAGGTGATGGATCCAACATGGCCAACTCTGCAGTTAAAGTCCCAGACCAAGCAGCTTGAAAAATATGCCAGGTGCGTGTGCATTTGTGTGCCCAAAATCCTGAGAGGAGGATGATAGAGAAGAGGGAATGGCATGGCCATCCCCCAGGGGGTGATTTCTTACTTCCCCTTTCCCTCTGTCTCTTTCCAAAACACTGTAGGTCTCCAGCATCACGTGCCTGTACATGCTCCTCTGAGCATGGTTCAGATCCTGCACTCCTCCCACAGCCACATCCTCAGACAACACCAACCGCTGGAACAGCACATTTCTCGGTTCACCAGCCCTGTGTCACAAGAACAGAAACCTGGGAGTTTACTCTTCTGTGTACGCAGGTGTCTTATACGTATCTCATAGAAGAGGTAGCACCCTATGGCGAAAACAAATGAATAAATGAGTGAGTTACATGACCACATTTTTTAAAGAGAGATTTTGCTAGCAGACACAGTACTCACCAGAGAGACAAACAGAAAGCAAGAAATCACCCCCCAAAGGGGGATGGCCACACTACAATCCCTTCTCCTCCATTCTCCTCTCGGGAGATGCATACACACATACAGCGTGAGTTTTAAGCCGCGGGGTCCAGGACTTGAACCGTAATCAGCCATGAGGAGTCCAGCAACGCAACCATTACACCCTCTGCTGGTACATAGATTTGTATCTTAGCAGTCATTCCCTAGGAGCAGAATGCAGGAAGAGCTTATAGGAGAGTCCCAGGGAAAGAAATCGGAGTGATAAACGGCCCCCCTAAGTCAGGACACATAGTAAGAGCATAGAATAGGGAAGAAAAGGAAGGACGGAAGGAAGGAAGGAGGAAAGGAAAGAAGGAAAAAAAGCGGGAACAGAACTTGGCACTAATTAGCTATGCAGAGAGCAAAAGGGAAGTATTGCTTTCGGGCTATCTGCATGGTCGCAGCTAATTAAATACTGGCACTGTAAAGTGAAATTTGGAAAATGGAAGGAAATATCCAAGACACCCCAGTCTTGGATATGTCATATTTGAAATATCTGCGGTCAAATAGGTGGAATGTACACCGGCAATTGCATACATGATTCCAGAACCCAGCAGAGCAATCTAAGCTGAAGATAAAAGATTTGGAAAGCAATGAACGAAACGGCTTGAAGAGAACAAAGACTAAAGAAGACAAAGAAGACCAAGTGCTGAATGTCAGGAAGCAATAATATTTAAAAATAGAGGAAGGAAAATAGAGAGCAAAGACTGAGAGAGAATTTTCAGAGTTTATTCTGAAAATAAAGGAAAGCTCAATATAAAAAAGTATACTAATACAAAAGGTCTTCAAAAAAGTCATGGAAAATGCATATGACAACCCAAGAAGAAGGAAGAAAATAATACAGATTAGAGCAGAGAGAAATGAAATAGATAATAGGAACTATAGAAAAAAAAACTAATTTTATTTTTGTTTAGATATTTTTCCTATAGGACGCATGCACTCACTGGAGAGACAGAAACAGAAAGCAAGAAATCACCCCCCAGGGGAGATGGCCATGCCGCAATCCCTTCTCCTCCATTCTCCTCTCGGGATCTTGAGCACACAGACACATGCCTGGTGTAAGTTTTTAAACCACTGAGTCCAGGACTCAAACCATGGTTAACTATGTGGGAGTCCAGCAACGTAAACATTATGCCATCTGCTGGTCCCAAGAATTGGTTTTATTTTAAAGATCAATAAAATTGACAAGCCCTTAGCTCGATTAACTAAGAAAAAAAGACAGAAGATTTAAATACTAAAACAATAAGTAACATTACATCCAATGCTACAGAAATATAAAGGCGTATAAGAGATTAATATAAGGTGAGGCCAGCAGGTGGCATGGTGTTCAAGGGTGCTGGACTCCCACACAGCTAACCATGGTTCAAGTCCCAGACCTGGCAGCTTGCTTGCTTTCTCTCTTTCTCTCAGTGTCTCTTCACCTGCTGCTCCAGTCAAATTAAAATAAATAAATAAAGATAGATAAATAAAATAATTCTTTAGAAAAAAAAAAGATTAATATAAAGGCCAGCTCAGGGTGCCACAGTAGCACACTGCTCAAGCAATGCTACATCCATATGGAAGATCAGGGGTTCAGTTCCTGGAATAACCTATACATTCTGGGTGCATCTGTATGTGCACACACACACTCCCATGACCCCGGCCAGCTGAAAGGGCTATGAGAGGATACTGATATTAGACACTATCATGGATGCTGGTCTGTCTGTCTGTCTGTCTGTCTCTCTCTCTCTCTCTCTCTAATAATAGGTAAATTAGGGACCAGCAGATGGTGTAGTGGTTATGTCACTGGGCTCCCACATAGTCGATTGCAGTTCGAGTCCTGGATCAACTTGAAACTCACACTGGGCACGTGTGCATGCAGGCCAAAAATCCCGAGAGGAGACTGGAGGAGAAGGGATTGCAGTGTAGCCATCATGTGTGTGCATGCCCAAAATCCTAAGAGAGAATGGAGAAGGGACTGCGGTGTGGCCATCCCCCCGGGGGGTGATTTCTCGCCTTCTGTTTCTCTGTCTCTGTCCCTCCCACGAGCACACGTGTCCTATTGCAAAAATCTCTCTTGAAAAAAAAAAAAGGTCAGAAATATAACCAGCAGTTGGTTTGATGATTGAGGTGGCTGGATGATTATGGATGACTACACAGTTTGAGTCCCAGACTCAGTGACTTGAAAAATGCACCAGTCGTGTGTGTGGATGCCTGCTGAAACCCCAAAACAAAAATAGAGGAGAAAGGATTGCGGCATGATCATCTCCCTGTGGAGTGATTTCTCACTTTCCCTCTCTTCTCTCTAACTCCCTCTCAAGTGACCGCATGTACCCCTATAGCAAAAACTAAAACAAAATAAAAATAAATGAAATGCATGTTACATTTTACATGCAGTCTCAAAATGTAATAGTGAATTTCTATGCCTTTATTCATGATAGAGCACATGGGCATGCACATGACAGAGAGGCAGAGAGAGGGAGAGGAAGAGGGAGGGGGAGGATGTGCTTTTCGTCTTGGATGTGTTGGGTTTGAGTACAATGAAGCATTCAACAGAGGGTTGAACCTACAAACTAGACTGAGGAAGAGCTCCAAGGTGGAGAGAAATGGGCTCACAAACCACAGGGGGCCTGATCAGTCAAGCACTGTGAAGTGAGCGAAATGGAGAACAGGATGGAGCATTTGGATGAGTCATGTTAGGGACCAGGAGAAAAGCAGAATATGAAGAAACAGAGAAGAAATCGTCATAGGAGAAACCACTGGAGAGAGTTTGACAGAAGGTAAGCGAAGAATTTCCAAAAGAAGATCATAAACTGTAGTTTCAAATATGGCAGAAAGTTCAAGTACGGCAAAGACCAGAGAATCCTAATGGGATTTTACTACAGTTCGGGTTACTGGTGAGCTAATGAAAAACTGAACTGAGACTATAGAAGGTGGGTTAAAATGGAAATAAGCAGAGGAATAGTCACCAGAAACGTAACTTTGAACAGTCTGCTGCATAAACTGCATGTATACGTGAGCTGCGAGAAATTTAGGAAGAATTACTTAAGAACCTGTGATTGGGTCTGGCAAGTGGCGTCGTGGTTAAGGATGCTGGACTCCCATGTGGCAGACCATGGTTCGAGTCCCAGAACTGGTGGTTTGCTTTCTCACTTTCCCTCTCTCTTAAAAAATCTGTCCCTCTCTGTCAAATTAAAATAAATAAGTTAAATAAAATAATTTTTTTAAAAACCTGTGATTGACTTAATCCTATAGACATTCCAGACTTGATCCATGAATGAAGCACGACTTTCCAAAAGCCGTCCTCTGGGACCACACTATTTTAGCAACTCCAGAAAAAACTCATTAAGTGAGTTTTGTTTTTGTTTCAGGTTTTTGCCATGGAGCATGTAGTTGCCAGAGACCAAAAGAGACAAAGGGAGGGAAAATGAGAAATCACCCCCCACCCCAGGGAGGATGGCCACCCTACAATCGATTCTCCTCCTAGGATCTTGGGGCACACACATGTACCTGGTGTGATTTTCAAGCTACCAGGTGCTGAACAACCATATTCAGCCCCATGGTAGTCCAGTAGCTTAACCACCAGCCACCTGCTGGCCACCCATTATGTGAGTTTTATTTCATCACAAAGTAACTGTTCCCACGGCTGAATGCTGAGTGTTTACACCCATGCAGGTAGTAAGAAGCTTTCAGTTACATCATATGGTGACAAATGAAGATGGTGCTTCAGCCTTTGTCATCAGCAAGTCTTTCTTTTTTTTTTTTTTAGAATTATTTATTTAATTTTATGTATTCATTCATTTATTGTCATTTGACCAGAGAGAGAGAAAGTGGGAAAGCAAGCCACTAGGCCTGGGACTTGAACCATGTCGGCCATGTGGGAATGTCCAGCATCTTAACCACCTATGCTACTGCTGGTCCTGGCATCGGCAAGTCTTTATGGTTCATGAGAATTTAATTTAGCATGCTCTCTTCTCAAGTTCCACTCTAATCCTGAAACAAACATGTCTGTCTTTTTGTCATGGCATCAGAAATTCCAAAGATAATTTGTATTCATCCGCATTGCCAACTTTTTTTTTTTTTGAGAGATTGCTACTATAGGGCATATGTGCTCACCAAAGAGTGAGAAATCACTCCTCAAGGGGATGGCCATGCCACAATCCCTTCTCTTCCGTTCTCCTCTCGGGATTCTGGGCACACACGCACACGTACTCAGAGTGTTTAAAATTGCCAGGTCCATGACTTGAAATGCAGTCGACTGTGTGGGAGTCCAATGATACAACTGTTCCGCCATCTGCTAGTCTCTCTACATGCCAACTTTATCTTATTTGTGAACATTTCCCTGAACTGTGTCTTATTTCCACTTTTCCATTTTAATCCATGAACCAAATAACGCTCATATAATACAACCTACAACAAAGTAAGAATAAATAAACAAATAACTCACCAAAGATTTATTCATTTTTTGTTGCTCCTGGAAACACATAAAGGCCCCTGGAAGTATAGCTGAGAGAGAAGAAAATGGAGTGGAGTCATGAGAGCTCTGGTGTGGCTGGGTCCTCGACTGTCCTGCTCAACACGCTCTACGTATTAACCACAGGGTGAGGGCATGCTATCGTGGAGGACAGTAACCTACGCAAAATAAGGCAGCAAGTACTCCCCCGAAGACACACCTACAAGTACATTAGCTGGTAGAGTTACACATACAATTTACTTTGGGGCTAATAAAAACATATGTTACCATCTGATTTAGTAACAATTCATCTTCCTGAAAGTAATAACTTAGTAATTAACCAAAGAAAGAAACATTGTGTCTTCACTAAAATTAATGTTATAGAAATACACTTGGTGGGACCAGCAGATGTCATAATAGTTATGTTGCTGAACTACCACTTAATCGACCATAGTTCAACTACGACTGGGCGACTTAAAACTCATGCCAGGTGTGTGTGCATGTGTGCATGCCCAAAATCCCAAGAGGAGAATGGAGGAGAAAGGATTCCAGTGTGGCCATCCCCCCAGGGGGGTGATTTCTTGTTTTCTGTCTCTTTATCTCTCTCTTTCTCTCTGGTGAGAGTACACACCTTCTAGCAAAAAAATCTCTCCTAGGGGCTGGCAGGTGGCATAGTGGTTAAGATCGCTGGACTCCCACATGGCCAACTCACTCTGTCCCTCTCTGGTCAAATTAAAATAAATAAATAAATAAAGTTAAATAAAATAATTTTTTTTAAAAAAACTTTCCCAGGACTAGCAATTAGTGTAATGGCTATCTTGCTGGACTCCCATGTTGTTGACTGCAGTTCAAGTCCCAGACCCAGTGGCTTAAACTCACGCCAGGCGCGCGTGTGTGTGTGCCCAAGATCCCGAGAAGAGAATGGAGGAGAAGGGATTGCAAAGTGGCCATCGCCCCTGGGGAAGTAATTTCTCACTTTCTGTCTCTGTCTTTCTGGTGAGCACACATGCCCTATAGCAAAAACCTCTCCAAAAACAAAAACAAACAAAAAAATTTCCTAAAAAAAAAAATACACTTTACTGTATTAACTATTTTCCTGTTAATATGGGGATACCACACAGGACTCCATGTGAGTGTTTCCACTACAACACCTCTTGTTTTTATGTGCTTAATTTTTTTTTAAGAATTATTTATTTATTTTTTATTTATTCATTTATTATCACTTTTTTAATTTGATCAGAGTGAGACATAGAGGGGGAGAGAGAGAGAGGGAAAGTGCAAAAGCAGGCCGTCAGGTCCAGGACTCCAACTGTGGTTGGTCATGTGGAAGTGTCCAGCACCTTAACCACCATGTCACCTGCTGGTCCCCTTTATGTGCTTAAATTTAACAGAGAACAAGTATGGCCATCCAACATGTCTCACCCACAACCCTATGGGGAAAATGAGCACGACATTCATTTCTTGTGGTACACTGTTCCCATAATAGTTTGATAGGCTGCGCCTCCATACAGCCCACTCTGACAACACCCTGGCCTTTGCCATTTGACTTGCTTTGGCCAAACAGGTTTGAAAAATATTCACTCACTGGTGCTTGCCTTCTTTTTTATTTTTTTATTTTTTTTATTTTTTAATTGATTTATTTTACATTCATTCACTGAACATCATCACAGCATACAAAATGTGATTTCCCATCCAGGATACACTGTACAGTGGCTTTCATACATGCTTTCTTGAACACAATCATATTGTAAAGAAGCCTGAGGCTACCCTGAGGCTATTTTTTTTAATTATTTATTTTAATTTTACTTATTCATTAATTTAATTTGATCAAAGAGAGACAAGCACAGAGAGAGAGAGGGAAAGTGAGAAAGCAAGCCACCAGGTCCAGGACTCAAACCATGGTCAGCCATGTGGGAGTGTCTAGCACCCTAACCACCACGCTTCCTGCTGGCCCCAAGATGAGGCTATTTCAAAGCAATGTTTGTGTTGGGAACCAGCAGTTAGCGTAATGGCTATGTTGCTGGACTCCCACGTAGTTGACCGCGGTTCGCATCCCAGACCCGGTGGCTTAAAACTCAGGCCAGGCGCGTGTGCGTGCGTGCCCAAGGTCCCGAGAGGAGAATGGAGGAGAAGGGATTGCGGCGTGACCATCCCCCCTGTGGAGTGATTTCTCGCTTTCTGTCTCTATGTCTCTCTCTGTCTGGCGAGCTTATGCACCCTATAGCGAAAATCTCTCCCCCCCCCAAAAAAAAGCAATGTTTGTGCTAAGCTGACTCCGGTGTCATAAACACAATCTCAAAATGGATGACACGAGCCCAAAGTCAAGATGCCTAGGTATCATGTGACCCTGGGTAAGTCACTTATAACCTTAAATCCAATTTTTTCATTTTTTTTTACAAGACAGAAATACCTTCACAACCCTTCCTGGACTATCAGGAAGAACTATCAAGATAGAGCATAAGCCTATCTCCAGATGCCAAATTCGATGATAGACTAGATTTGAGAAAGCTCAGACTGGAAATAATCAGTATAGGGAGACTGAAGGACTGGGAGTGTGTGTAGAGACAGTGAAGACAGATCTTGTAGCTGTGACAGGATATCCCTTCACCCTAGACTACACCTTCAAGACTCCCCCAGTAAGTAACACTGCTTAGGCTCTTGCCTATCCTTCTCTGCCCAACTCACTTCCTTCTGAAAGCTGGTCCACATCTCTGACTAGCAGCCAGCGGTTGACAACTTCAGAAAGAGACAGTATTCTCCAAATCTTGCTCACTCTAGGCAGCAGAATCCATCATTCCTTGGGTCATACAAAGGTAGAATCTTCCCCTTTCTGAGACTCTTCTGCCTCTACTCTGAAGCACTAGTGAGCGAGCTCAGGCACAGGGGTGTTCTTTGAGATGGGATTCCTATTCACAGGGTGCCTTCTTTCAAAGTCCTTTGAAAGTCCTTCATTTGGACATCCAATAACCATTCAATCTTCCTGCAGAACCCATTGTCACTGGTAGCAATGGGTTTTATGTAAACTTCTGCAAACTCAAACCAGGAAGGGTAGACAAGCTGTAAAGTGCATGAGGGGACCAGAAACTTCCCTTGCTGAAGAGACAGCAAGAACCCCCACAAGTGAAACTGCACATAGTTATCAAGGCTGGTCTGCACACACTTCACGAGCGTTTCTCTGGGAATCTGGGGGCGCCCCGCTAGTATTCTCGCTCATTCACATATGAGTAGACTAGATGTTATAGAAGTCAGTAACAGGATCCTGCAGCGACGGAGCTGGAGCGTGAACTCGCACCGCAGACTCCCTGCAGACCTCACGACCCCCACGGCGTCGCCATCTTGGACTCGACCACCCCAGTTCCCAGGGCTTCTGGACCCAGCCTTTGTACACCCGAAAGCACACACCCGGCCGGCTGGCAACCGTCTTCTGACAAAGCAATCATTGGACGCGCAGCCCAGTCCGCCAGGTCCCAGAGGTGTCGGTCCCGACGCTCGACCGTCAGGCACCGCCCGCCTGAAGCCCACCCCCATTTAACTCCCCATTTCTGCGACACCCACCCAGCCCCCCATGGCTCCCGAGGCCACGGAGCTCCTTGTGCACCTTCGTACTCACCTCCAAGGGCGTAGAAGCCAGCCTCAGAGCCTGAGAAATAGCGTCACAATTCCCAGGATGGCAGAAACGGGAGGAGCAGCACATGCGCAGAAGGAACCCAAAGGAGCTGTTCCTATCTTCCAGGGCCCGCTAAGCCGCGGAAGGAACGACTACATTTCCCACAACCCTCTGCGCCGGCTCCTTAGGCTCCAACGGGAAAAGTTTTTGTTTATTTCCGTCAAGTCAGTGAGTCAAAACTGACCCTCCCCACATGGGAGCAGTGTGGATTTCTGCTTCTTTATCAAATTCCGGTTTGACACTCCGATGCAATGTGGAACGTATGGAAAAATGCGAATGTGGGCCAAGCAGTAGATATTAATAATAAACATTATTTGTTTTAAATTCACTTAAAGTTCTTGAAGTCAGAGAACCCACTTCTATTTTGTATAAATGTATTCCAAACCATGAAAAATTATGTCTCTTACGTTAAATTCGTTAACAAGAAGTTAATATGCAACTCTCTTTGAGTTCATTTTAAAAGATGTTTGTTGTCTAGGGCCAGCAGGTGGCGTAGAGGTTGAGGCAACTGGATCCTACATGACTGATTCTAAGGTTCAAGTCCTGGGCCCAGAGGATGAAAAAATGCACCGGGCACGTGTGCATGTGTGCCCAAAATCCCAAAAGAATAATGGAGGGAAAGGGGATTGACGTGTGGCCATCTCTCATTTTCTCTCTCTCTCTCTCTCTCTCGTTCTCTTTTGCACATCCCTATGACAAAAACTAAAAAAAAAAAAAAAAATTAAAAAGTTTGTTGTAAACCACTAAACTAATTTGTGTGTCTTCAGTGGATTAAACTACTCTAGTGTATATATTGGAATAAAATAGCAGGGTCATATTTGCTCCGTAATCGTTATGACAACTTGCACTCCAGTGTCTGATATTTATTCAGATTCCAAAGTTCCATCCACCCATCCATCTATCAAATCTTTAGGGTGTGTGTGTGTGAGAGAGAGAGACAGAGAGAGATGGACTCGAACTTTGCCATTCCTCTCTTATTTCTGCCACAAGCAAGGCAGAGTTGTGTATAGGAGTTACTCAGAGTTCTGCTGCCACTGAAGTTCCACTTCAAACACATTTCCTCTGGCAAAAAAAAAAAAAAAAAAAAAGTGAACTAGATTAAGAAAATGACAATAACTGAAGTTGCTCTAAGAAATCGATATAGGAATAACTCATTGATAATTACATCAAGATGCAACCAAAGAACAAAGGCTCAGTTTGCTTTACTGCATTTGAGAAGTCCATTAAAAGTTTGAAGTTCCGAGTGTCTCAGCTGACCTCAGAGATCCTGTTAAGTCCTTGGAAGGACATCCTGAATGATGGTCCCATTATGACTACACACACTATGCGGGCTTATTTCTCTTAAAGGAAGCCAAGGTGTTCTAACCAATGAAGACGGAATAGATTCCAGGCTACACAAACACATGAAATACACAGTATAATTAATGTTATATAACTAAACAGCTACCGGGACTACTTGCAAATGGTAGAAAATTATAGGAGAAAATGTTTGTAGCGTTGAAGTGCATGTATGTGTGGGGGGTTGTTTTTTGTTTTCAGTTTTGGGTTTTTTTTTTTTACTTTTTTGCTATAGCGCTCATGCCCTTGCCAAAGAGAGACGGTGGCCCTCATTGTAGTTTTAAATTGCATGTCCCTGGGGCCAGCAGATGGTGTAGAGGTTAAGGCAACTGGTTTTCACAAGGCTAACTGCACAATTTTAAGTCCAAGACACAATGGCTTGAAAGATCACAGTCCAGGGACCAGCAGTTAGCGTAATGGCTATGTCGCTGGACTCCCATGTAGTCTACTGCGGTTCGAGTCCCACACCCGGAGACTTAAACTCATGCTGGGCGCGTGTGTGTGTGTGCCCAGAATCCCGAGAGGAGAAGGGAGGAGAAGGGATTGCGCGG